CATAGACTGTTTACAGTGATTGGGCTAAGTAATGTGATTTGTAGTTTGTCAGTGGCCAACAGCTAATCTTATCTTTACTTGTGTAAAGACTAAATAGGAAGTAAACGGTAAACAAAAGAGTAAACAGTAAAACAGGTGTTATTCTGAGCAATAGTCACTATTCCTACTAGCATATTCAGGTACTGTCTTAAACCAGTCTTTTAAAATACTAAAGTCTTGAGAAAACCCTGTAGAGAATATTTTATTGTAAGTAATTTGTTCAAATATGTTAATGCTGGAGCATAACTTAAGGTTCAGTTTACAGTCAGAAAGCATCTGTTTTCTGTGGGATATTGAGTGTTAAAAGAAGAAAAACTACAATGCAGAATATAAGAAAATAGGAAATCTATTTAAATAATTAAATTTAAGGAAAAGTTGTGCGTACTTCGAATTTTATAGATCTTTAATGTTCATCTTTTATTTTCAGTGACTTCATTGCAGCTGAAGGAGGAGTTGCTAGATGGAGAAGAGTATAACTTCCTTCAAGGAGCATCCGATCAGGAAAGCAACGGATCTGCCAGTTACTACATCAAACAAGAACCATAAGGCAGCTCAGAGAAGTGAGGGGCAGAGCACTGGTGATAGGAAAAGAGCCTTTCTCCAAGACTGACTGATTTTGTTCCCACTTTGAGGGTACAGCTCAGGTGACTGTACCTGGGGCACTTTGCTAACTGTAGATGAGTTACACTCAGTTCAGAATTTTTTGGAAGGGCGGGGAAACTATTTTAGTGAAAAAGATTTTTCAATTTATTAAAAACAAAAATGGACACTTTTGTGTTGTATTTGAAACTTTTGAAAGAATTTTGTAATATTTTCAAGTTCAGATTTATTGTTCATTGTTAACAAGAACTGAAATTCTAATTTTTTGGTAAGATTAAAGTTTAATTAGCATGATTGTGGGAGGTGGTTGGAGGAAGATATATTGCAAATACAAATGAACTGTCGTAACAAATGAACCTTTTTGGTACAAGTTGGGAGACTTCTGGACTCTTGTGAACTGCACTGGTCACGCCTCTGGTTTTTTTTTTATTGTGAAATGTGGCATTTAAGCCCTAATTTAGAGGCATAAATTGTATGTGGAAGATAGTCTTGTAAAGCTCTACTCGGTGAGTAGCCCCAGTTGCAATGGAGTCATCACCTGAGGGAGATTTTAATTTTTCAAGATTTTTTAATTTAGTTTAAAATACTTTTTTTTTAATACATAAGTTGTTTGGTTTTTTTTTTTTTTTTAAAGTTCCTTAAGGTCTGATTGAGTGCCCATTAATATCAGTAGCCTTGTGTCCATTGACTGCAGTGGGCAGTGGATGGGGACTATAAAGCTCTTGTCTGTATGTGAATGTCTGTAGTCTTGGAATGCTTCAACAAATGTTTACAGAGCCCTATGCCAAACTGGAACTTCAGAAAATTCCCTCATTTGTAAGATTAGTTTTAGCTATGAATTTAGACTAAAGAAGGAACTTAGATGGACAGTAACTCAAGGCTCCCTTGGTATTAGGAAGGAACTTCTCACTGTTCTTCTGATTTTTTTATTTTATTTTTTTTTTCCATACAGAAAGACCTAGGTGTTTCCTTACCATCTTAAATAGTTACTTCTGAACATTCAAAACTGATGTTCCACACGGTTTCAGGTGAGCTAAAAGGAGCCATACATTGTGGATTAAAAAAATAAGTTCAGTTCTGCACAGCCTGCAATATTCTGCTCTTGCTGCAATAGTGTAATACGGAAGTTGAGACTTGAGAACAGTATATAAATCATATACTGTCCAGTATATAACTCATAAACTGGATTTGCTTATTGCCTGGAATCCTTGTGTCTCACTTCAAGTATCCCATTAGCCCCACCTGCTTAACTGTCTGGATTTTTTTAAAGGCAAAAGTTGTATAAAAGGGTGAAAATGACTGCCAGTAAAATACAGAGTATTTTAGCACAAGGTCTTAATAATTTGGATTTTATCTTTCCATACTTTTAAACTTTGTACATTTTTGTAAGTGATGTCATTCATGGAGTTGATTAGTAAAATGGTTAATCAGCCCTGCAGAGCTGTGACTGGAAAAATGTGCATCAAGAGCGTTAGCTTTTACCAGTAAGGTTCATTAACGAAACTCTCAGGAATTAACTGCATATGTTCTATAAGTGCTTCTGGGTCTTAGCAGGTCCCCTTCAGAGCAGTACAATGATCATCTGAGTCTTGACCATAAATATGTCTGTGTTCCTGCAGCCTAAGAAATGCTTTAAGGATATCAACCCACAGAGCCCCAGGAGACCATTTTTGTATATTGTTGTTTGAGCTAAAAAAAAAAAAAAGTGCATAGAAAGTTGAAAACCAGCAGTTTGATTGTTTTCTAAAATCTTGCTCTAACTTTGGGTACATAGTGTCGGTAATATGCACAGGTTTACCTCATTCTATGCAAGAGGGGTTAATTATGTAAAGTTTTGTATTTACTACTGGAAGTAAAAATTGTCCTGTATAGCGTAGGATTGTCTGGAATTCTTTTCTCCCTTACTGGTAAAATTTCTTAAATAATGACCCCTTTTTAACAACAGCTTCTTATATTGACAGAATCTGGTTATGAGATTGTAAGTGTCTGTAACTTCAGGTGGTAAAGATGTTTTTGCTCTCTAAAATAGCCATAAAAAGGACTTTGTCAGGCTTGGTAGACTTCAGATACCTTCTCTCAGATTCTGACCCACCCATGACGTTTCTTTTGAACAGCCTGGATTGGAGAAGTAGGATTAGAGACCATTGTAATGACACTTTTGAGCCTTGATTATTTTTTTCCTGTATTCTCCATTTAACCTCCTGTAAAATCCAGCTTTGCAAGCATTGATTTGGTTTGGTAAGTACATCACTACTGATTTTTTTTTATTTATTTTTTTTAATGCAACAGCTTGCAGGTCCCAGTCAGCTGGAGCAAGGTTGGCACAATCTTGCTTTCTCCTCTTGTCAATAGCTTCTGACTTCAGTAGAAAAAAATGTTTAATTCATGTTTCATCCATCATGTGAAAATTTGGGCTAGTAATGAGCAAGGTATATTGTCAAGTCACTAAACCTTGAGCTTCTGTGTATTGCCCAGGCTCATACCTAATTTCTGAGTTAGTCTTCAAATGTCAAGAGGGAAAACTAGCACTTAAGTCAAACACACTCCCTGTTTGAGAAATGCAAGAATCAGATTTGAAGTCTGTCAGTCTTTATATTCTTTAAAAATGGGTATTTTATTCATTAAACACTAATGTATGTGAGTTGACTTGCATTCTCAGATGCACATGTGACTTCGGTAGGAGTTGATGTATTGAGATTTATGGGTGAAATTTCTCTTGTGTTTCCAAATTCAAAATCTACCTAAATTGTGTCATTGTCAAGTACAGTGAAATCTGTCCTAAGCGAACCACATGAAGAACTAATTGAAGTCACTTGCTTGGGAGAGGTTTAAGGAGAACCTGAGGAGAACTCTACCAGGTATTCAGAGAACGGTCTCTTTTGAGGAGTGGGTGACCTGTTGGCTGTGGTATCCATAGTTCAGGCTTCACTGTATTGGCAAAGCATTTGTTAGTGACATGGCTCTGGGTATTTTTGTCTCCGCTTTACTCTGAGCTGTGTCACTTGGCTAAAAGAGCAGTAAAGTGTTGGACATCTGAAATCTTCAACGGGGTCACACTAATTTCAGTATTTGGCACAGCAGGTTTTTGTAACTGTAAGGGAGCGCAAGTTATGTACCTGACTTTGCAGTTACTGTTTCATTGTTCAGAATCTTTCTGCTGATCTTTGATTTTTATGTTATTTTAAAGACAAGTCTTTGACCTTTTCCTTTCTGCATCTGAGGAAAGCTAAAGCGGTTATCATTTCCTTGTTCGACAGATACTAACACGGGTTTCAGTGTTTGTTTGTTTTTTATTGTTGTTCAATGTGATGTGAATACCCTCTCCTGTCAATATTTGTACAATGGTGCTAATATATTTGGTAACAATCCTTTAGTGGGAAGGGATTTTAAAAAACTGTGATTTAAAAATAATTTTTCTTCCTTTTAATTTTCATATTTAAAAAAAAAAGCCACAGCCATTTATACAAAAAAGGCATCAGCTTTGGCCCCTGGGAAAGTGTTGGGGCGGGAACCAAGATTAAACAAATAGGGTTTTTACATCATTTCTGTATGTATTTGATATATAGATCAATATCTGTACAAATTTAATCTTTTATTTTCTTGGTAATTTGTGTGGTCAATGAGAGAGTATTTAAAGCTTTCTCATGCGATGTACATAACTAAGTGAAAAAAAAATGCTTTTGGAGAAGTTCATGTAACTTTCATTTTTACAAGACTGCAGATTTTCAGCATGGATGTGAAAGCATTAAAATTATAACTTTGTGTACAAGATGAAAATAATTCACTAAATTTGCCTTTTTTTACACAAAATAAAAATGATAAAAAGTCTTTTTCTGAATAGTGGTTGTTTTGTTTAAAAGGCATTCCAGCTTCTTTCCCAAGAGAATGCAGATTAAAAAAATACCCCCAATTTGTAAAACCATGAATGGTGTAAGTAACTGGGTGTGTTAGTCTGAGCACAAGGTAAGGTTTTTAATGCCACCTTGTATTAAGAGAAGCATTTACCAGAGAGCAAGCTTTGCACTTGGTCTCATATTTCACAGCTGGTATTAATAGTTGTGTAGGGAGGGAAATTTTGTCATGGGATAGTGCTCCATCTTTCTTCTAGTTCAGTTCTGCTACAGAGGAACTCACTCCAGCATCCCTTCAACTCTCCCCCTGCAAGGTGGCTTTGCACTGCAGCTAGAATGTATTTCAGTGGGCAATTTTGTAATGGACAAAAGTCACCAACATCTCATTCTGAATAGACCAGTACAGGGAAGTCTGTGTTACCTGTTCCTTCTACAAGAGCAAAATACTGACTGACCATGTCCAGTTTGATTTCTGTGAATATTTGAGCACAGTAAATGCAGCACAACAAATTAGTTCATATCATCCATTTATTTGACAGTGCTGAAAAATGACTAAGATAACCGTGGTGATAATTGCTCCCAGATCATGAGCTGGAATGAGATGATGATGTGTTAAGAAGGCACAATTCATTCTGGCAACTCCTTTCACTCATAGATCCAATCCTGTGCACAAGATTTGAAGTCCACGAGCTCTGCAGGTTTGAACCACAGGTTGATTTCCTTCTGCGCGCTTGCTACGGAGTCACTGCCATGAATGATGTTTCTGTGGAAGGAGAAAAACACATTGTTTCATGTAAAAATATATTTTCAGCAACTTAGTAGTTCTTCATATGCAAAAACCTGGATGAAGCATCTACAGCTGCAAGACTACTCTTTCAGGTACTGTACTGAAATACCCCACTATTCCAGGTCAGCAAGCCTAGCAGGGAGGGCTGGGGCTACTTTACTACACCAGCTGCTGCCACCGACTGATCTTACATGAAGCTGGATGAGTAGCTGTATTTCAAAACAAGGCAATTTTGTACCAAGCCATTTTCTTAAGCAGCAGCTATGGATTGTGACCTGCAAATAAAATACCATCAGACTAGGATATCTACTAACAATTTTTACTTTTTAGAATAAAAGACTACCACCATCTAGTTTTTAATCTCAATTGATGTAAAAGTGTTTTAAAACTGGACACAAACCTTCCTACTTGAATGCAGAAGTCACCACGGATAGTACCAGGCTTAGAGTCCGCAGGGTTTGTTTCCCCTAGCATTACTCTCCCAGTTTTAACCACGTTGAGTCCTTCCCATACCTTAAGAAAAAAAGACAAATCCTATTAATCCATGCTTATACAAAGTGCCAAAGATTAATCTTTGATAATAACTTATTTGGCAAAGAAACAAGGGCTCCATCACTAAAAAAATTAGTCTAGCCTAGATTCTCTCTTAGGCCTGTGAAGAAGACTAAGGAAAAAGCCATATAAACTGGAAGTGATTATAAAAAGGACTATCACCATTGTCACTCCAGTAAAGGAGATACTTACCAAACCTCAGAGTTAACTGATGTGCAAGGCCAATTTCAACACCTTGCTGTAGTGTCAGGCTGAGGACTGCCTGATGAGTTGCAGGCACTCCTAGTTAGGTGCATAGTTAAATCAGGAGGAGATGCTATGGGGGCAATTTTATTTTTGCAGTGGGAATGCAAAAAAGAATGACACAGAAGATGGGCTTCTGTGGGAGAGGACAACCCTTCCTCCTCCCCCCCCCAAAACCCAATGGATTCTTTGACACAAAAATCTGGCTTTTGGGAATTTTGCTTAGCATTTGAATATGCATTTTATACATGTACACTTTCCCTCTTGTTTATAAACAGTAACTTCTTACTTGATTGTCTTTGTTTTAATTTTGGTTTTCTTTTGCCACTATCAGAACTGGGTAGTTTGATAAAATGTTTCCTAAAGAGTATATCTGAATATTTTAAAATCATTTACAGAAAGAGACAAATATATACTCAAATAGTCTCTAAATAAAATGAAGCTGCTTACCATAGCCACAATGGGTCCAGAGCTCATGTATTTAACCAAGCCAGGGTAGAATGGTCGGTCTTTGAGGTCAATGTAATGTTGTTTGAGAAGGTCTTCAGAGGCCTTTGAAAGGACAGACACAACATTAAATATCACTTTAAAAATATCATATCACAAAAGGTGTCCCTACTGTAAGAGTACAGCATTAGTGACTGGGTTCACCAGCCACTAATGTTGGCAGCAGCTGCTGCAATGCTATGATGGGTTTCAGTGAAGGTTCTGATGTGAAATTGAAGGGAGTACATCACACATCAGCTTCTTCTGTAGCACTGCCAACTCACAACACTATTTCTTTGCAGTGCAGTAACCCTCAGCGATAAGCTGAGCACGAGACCATGGGACAATATTACCTGATACAACCTTTTGGTCAAGGTCATCATTCCAGCTCTCTCAATGAGGCTGTATTAAGCCATCTGAGCCAATTTTGTTTCCTTAGGAAATGGGAGAGATCAAACGTTTGCGGTTGACAGAAAGCTTGGCCTAATTGATGTGATGCAGGTCCTTCCAGCTGCTGTGCCAATTCACCAGCACATCCCCGTTCTCATGCAGGAAGAGCCATCCACTGACGTACCTGTCCCGGCAGGTGAGGGGGACGCGTTCAGGGCTGGGGGGTGCGGGGGCGATCCCCGGGCTCGGACACTTACGTGCACGAGCTTCATGGCCACCAGCCGGAACCCCTTCTGCTCGAACCG